GTGATACTAGGATAATTACTTATCAAAATGTGAAAGACAGAATACAATCAGTACTAAGAGGAAAGTTTATAGCTGTGGGTACATACATTACAAAAATAGAGCAGGCCCAATTACGTGACATAATGATGCACCTTTCAAGCACCTTAAAACAATTAGAGGTGAAATTCTTCCTCATGGGTTCTACATGCCAGCTCTGGCCATCCACCAATTCTAAGCCCACTCTGTATTTGTTTCTCCTTGACATTGGGCAGTAGAGTTGCCAATCAATCAACTGACTTGATCATGGAGTTGGTCATTCATTGTTCTAGAAAGTCAGCAACTCCAGGAAGAAATAATGGCCTGGACCATTAGTGCTCACCCTAACAGATATTATAAGCTACAAAAACAGTGTGGGGTTTTACAACAAAACTGACTCCTTCATGGCAGGCTAAAATTGGAAAAAAAAAAAAAACACAGTGCAATGCCCACCACATTGCCAGAGAGGATTTAATCAGACATCATTTTGGAAGTCGTTAACTGAGACTGAGCCACAGAACAGCTATAGAACAACTCCACTTCAGGGTTTCCATTGGTACCTTCCCACAGTGACTGCGTGAAAGAAATTTAGGAACTGGAGACTGTGAAAGTTTTAAGAATCTTCATATAATTAGCTAAATTTGTTATTACTGTTGAATGATGTTCTATTGTTAGTTTAATTACAGTTGTCAAAATTAGGAGCTATTTACTGTGTGGTAACATTTGGTTTGTATTGGTGTTTGCACTATGATTATAAAAATTATTTTTTCACTATAAATATTATTTATAATTAACTGTACAGTACTTGTTCTTAGGGCATGTCAATATATACTTTATCTTTGTTGCTACTACTGTTGCTGATCATGTTGCTGTTGTCCAGGTGGCATAGATTTCACTATTAGATTTTTTATGCCACAATCCAGATTGCGTTTTGTGGCAATAACAGTACTATGGTTCATCCCTGCAGAACTAGGTGCTGGGCAAAATACACTCAGATTCACCTCTCAAATAAATGCAGGCAGTTGAATCTTATGAGATTTACAGGGCTACAGTGAGCAACTACCAGAATGCATCACTGAAAAGCAGATACTAGCTAAAGGGTTCTCTGTACTAGTAATGCTTTCAAAGTGACCAATGAACAGACTTCTTCACAGACACACACACACACACACACACATACACACACACACACTAATAACTGCCCCCCATACTTAGAAACCCACACAAATCATACCTCCAAAAATATTAGGAACATGAGAAGACAAGCCAACTTATGT